TAAAAAAAACAAAAACCCCAGCCACTGGAATGCTGACGCGTAGATGCCTTTTGATCCCGGTTGGAGCCACCAACCGGGACCAAAGGCCCCCTGACTGGGCTCGGCGCACAGGGCCACGTGGAGGCACATTGGTCCCGGTTCGTGTTTGAACCGGGACTAATGGGTGGAGGTATTAGTAACGACCCATTAGTCCCGGTTCATCAACCGGGACTAAAGACCCTTACGAACCGGGTCTATTTGGTGTTTTTCTACTAGTGTCCCCTCTCTACAACCATAAGATAGTGTTCTTTCCTTCCAATCATTAACAAGTTTCTATATTCTCTCTATGAGACGTTTGAGGCAATCAATCCGGAGACCCAAATATTTATCAGAGAGAGATTCAGTCATCATATCAAGTATCTGGCACACATCCACTTTGTTATCCACATCTGTATTCGGACTGAAGAAAATAGATGAGTTTGCTGCACTAACCAATGGACATGAAGTGGCACAATATTCATCCAAAATTTTCTCTTTTGGGGCTGCTTTACCAAACTATGGCCCTGCGACAAACGTTTCTCTTTTGCATGTAAGCATCTTACTCACTCATAAAATGGAGGGACCATTAGCAACTACAAAAGTACACACCAAGATGACTAGAGATGCCTTAAGTGTACTAATCTTACTAGACGAGATGCAAGATTGGCAGTAAAGCACCGACATCACAAATTCAACAAGTTGTTGACTCCATGGAACATAACTGATTCGGGGCCCAGCTAACATTATATTCCGGATGAAACCGAGTCATGCTTTTGGGGTGCAGATTCTGATACATTCTTTTGGGTTGGAGGTACCTTCCCTTTAGAGTTTCCCGATCCTTCAAACTTCATGCATATCTAGAACATGCATGAATTTGTTTGCAGGTTTAAATAGTATTTTTTTTTCATTTCTGGTTATATTGACTGTTTGCACCATAATGCCCCATGTGCAACCCAAGACGACACATCTCTCTCTCTCTCTCTACCTATAAGAGCAAGATCTCTCTCCCCCTCTCTCTCTCTCCCTCCCTCGCTCCCTCCCTATAAGAGCAAGATGTGACATGCTCTAGGACATTTAGGAAGTAGCCTCCCGCTAGCAATGCCATTGAAACAAGACATGTCAATATGGTAGGATTATGAAGCATCGGGAGTCAGTTTCATGCCGAATCGGTTATTCGACCCTACTTTAGCTTAGCCTTTCATGACATCAATCTAAAAGGTGTGAATAAGAACGTATCTACAGGTCACCAATGGATCTGGTTCGGTAGACAACAATGAACAACAAGTATGATGTCTATTTGTCGTCTAGGACAAGCCAGCTGGTAGAAAAGTACCGGGGAGCATGATGGGTTCACTCCAAATGTGTCCAAATCCATAGAAGAAAAATAGCAGAAGTGCAAGGCCAGAATTCAGGCAAAAACTAAAACTGGTAGTTATGTCAGGAGGACCTATAAACCGGGGGTGTTCAAATAAAACTAATGTTTGCGGGATTGTAAGGTCCAGCGTGTTGCGAGGTTCAGTGCCGACCTGCTTGTTGAGCCTGCCTTTGCGCGGTTGTAATGACAGTTCTATTTCTTAATTAATACACAAAGTCTTTTAGAAAGAAATAAACTAGTCTTTTGGAGGTGACTATGTGGCACCCCATTCTTTTTATGATGAATTGCCAAGGACTAGACCCTGAGGGAAACAAAATAGGTAGATGTATGTTACTGCGCCAGCGCCATCGGCTTGACCCAGTGATTCCTGATGAAACCCAGTCATTGCAAATAGTTGTGCACGTTAAGTCATTGCAAATAGTTGTGCACATTCGGTTCGCATTCTGACATGTAGATACACGTTAGTATCACTTACTAAAAGGTTAAATTACATTGCACAAAATTTTTCAATAGAATTCACGAATGAGAGGGGCTGGTGAGGCTCGGAAACCGCAACTGAACTCATTGCACTGAACAAAGATAAGAATCGATAACAGAACTGGCATTATCGATCAAACAATATAAGAGCCTCAACTCAGTTCAGCAGAATCATCAGTGTCATGACATAGTGCCTCACACTATATGAAGTGTTTTCTCATGCTGCTTTGGAACGTGGCCTCGTTCTGCCAGAAGATCCATCAACACTTTGTTCAGGTGACCGGTCAAGGTCCGAATAACATGGCATGGTATGTCCTATGTTGCACAGCTCAAGAGGAAAACTTGACTTGCCTATGTCCCATCCTGTACAAAATAGATGAAATGCTATGCAGGGGACTAGAATGATCCCAAGCAGCAGTACTTCTTCCCTATCTTTCCAAGTTTGCTGATAGATCGATTTCTCTGGGGAGACGTCGTGCTTCCATGCGAGCTACTGGAACTATTTGAATGGCTTTGTTCTACATGGCTGTTTGAAGAACATGAAGACGCAGGAGGATGGGGATCCAGACACTGCTCGTTTGAATGTTGATCTCTTTCAGAATCTGACGCTGCCTTTTCCAGTGATGTTCCAGCCACCATGGCACGATTATCATGGTTGTGAACCAACCCTGTAAGTACAGATGCATTAACTTCACTTGTCAGCAAACTATTGTAGAGACAGGGGAAAGAAAAAACAGAGGGTCTTATCTATAGTACTGTAGCTGTCTAGACTAGAGTAAACGAACATCCAGTTACATATTACCGTTATAATCTCAATAACTAATAGCATTGACAAATCAACCCCAGCCCTCCCAGGAGAAAAAGGCCACACAGTGGGACTAACTGTAATTGCCAAACTGGCTTTGCTGAAAGTTCCATAGACTCATTCATCATGTGGGTACATTACAGTGGGACTTCATAGTTGCAAAATTTAACTGTTCTAGCTTTCCAAAAGATTCTTCGTGTGGCTACACTCACAAAGTTTTGGGAACATACTACACGAGGATCTAAAGAAACCTCTTAAATTCAAAACAAGTGAGGCAAGTGTCATCTTACCTTGTTCTGGTGGACTGATAACCACGCAATCAGATTTAGTAGGTCCAGCTATGTTATGGTTGCAGTCCTGATGTATTTCTCTAGTTGTGTTTTGGTCATTCAAAAGCTCTCTCAGTAATGCATCAGAGTCAAAGTACTCTTCAGACCGTCTACTTGAAAATTCGGAAGTCGATGCAGAGCCATCTGAGCTTAATAGATCTTTCATTTCTATGTAGTCCTCATTAGCAAGAGCATTCACAAAATCTACGCCATCTGCAGTACTATAATCTTCATAAATGTCCTTTCCTTCTCTGGAACAGCTATTTTGCTGGCTTGAAGATACAATCTGGCATATGTAAATTGAGGGATTCATCAAGATTACAGGTCAAACTAACATAAATGACATACCATTGAGTTTATATTGCAGAAAACTAGTAAGCAGTGAATGGCACGAAGTTGAATACCCTGATAAGCTATACATTTTTTCGTATGGTTTTTGAATGAATCCAAGAATCTGCAAGACTGATTCTTCAAATAAAGAGGTGATTTACAATAAGAGGATCCTGGGAAACTACTTTCCAATTTAAAATGAAAAAGCAGCAAAGAGCTCAAACAATCCAGACCATATAATTTATCCTAGCATAAGGACAAACAGAGAGCAGGTGGTACTGCAAATGCTAAACATTGATACATTGTAGAAAAAAGAAATTATGATATACCTTTGAGTTTACTGCAACATTCTGCTCTTCCATGTCAGCAAGATATTGAAGATAAGATTCCAAGTGATCATTAGGAGCATTAGTACTCAGAGATAGCAGTTCATCTTCAGTATTTAACTTTTTGCTCCCCTGCATGAATATTGTACACAAAGACTTGTACTCCTGCCAGGAATACCGAAGGCGTCAGTCATCAACCCTAGTTGATAGCTAGGTACATGTGTGTATCTTTTGATCAGGGAGAAACATGGGCTACCTGTGGTACCTTAGCTTCATCATTCTGTTCTACCTGATATTCATGCATCAACCACTGTGTTCTCTTACCAGATGGTGCTTCGCCTTCATAAAACTCCAGACTAAATTTCACACCAGCAGTAGATTTACTTGTTGGTATTCTGAGAACATCTATGCACTTCCAGTATCCACCTTTTGCCTTTCTAATATCTGACTCGCCATTGCCATAGGGCTGCTGATCATCTGACTGGTTCAGGTACCATATGTTCCCTGTAAGATGAGTTATCTTGTCATGTATCTAGTAGCAACTCAATTAGAAATAGCACAGATTTAAGGCAAACACATGGATGTCAGAAAGGGGAAATAATACCTAGTCAAACACAACCACAGAATTAACCAAATTAAATACTCAAACTACATGCTAACAAGTTTTGATAAGGTAGTAAGTTGCTGCTTTATGCTAGAGACTTATCAGCTATGTGCAGTTTATCCAAAAGTATCTAAAACAACTGGATTAAGTACAATATAATCATTCTCGCAGAAGCAAGTACAACATAGTGAATAACAGCATGAATTCAGGCTGCAGGAGTATCTACAGCACCATTTACATATCATAATTATTATCTTGTGCATCACTAGGTACTAACCAGGGGAGGAGTCGAGTGGATGAATGAGAGTAAGGTCCATGCCCACAAGTACGTTCTCTGGCAGGGAGTCCTCGGCCTTCCTCTCTGCTAAGAATCGCACAAGTTCCTCATCGCTCCAAGAATCACTGATACTGTAGTTCATTTCTGTTGGTGTACCAAGTGGCGGACACATGATTGTCCTGGAAAAGATGTCCAGCTTCAGCAAGGAGCTATAAAACAAAACACATGACATCTCTAGCAAACACGCAATGTGGCAACATTATAACATGCCTAAAATGGCCTAAATTCCTAGTGCCTGTAGGAAATTAAATCAATCAAATTTCCTTCAGATCAAATGATGATGCTCCATTGCAAAAGTGTGAACAGTACATCGCTTCCAGTGAGTGAGACAATTGAAGGTTATCAGTTAAAACAAACACAAAGTCACAATGTCCAGCACCATCATAACAAAGGTTCCATTTATCAGGGCTCGGAGAAATACAATTCAACTTTGGTGGCAGAAAGATTCATCAGACAGTGGATCCTGACATGAAAGGTGACAGAGCAATCTACACCCTTATTGCAATTTGTTGCTAGAATAAATCAACAGCATTACTGGGAGCCAGTGTTGGTTGGGGTAAAATCAGAGGGACAGAGAGACAAGAACAGAGCACGCACAGGCATGCACTTTATTTTCTTTACAGTAGCTTTCCACGGAGAAGAAACAAATACAGTTACGATCCTTCTGCAAAGACCAACGAAATCAGACATCCAGAGAACAAACAGCAGGTCCAAGAACGCCCAAGAAACATCCGAGCGAGCCATTCCGCGCATGAACCCACGCAAAAATCGAGTATGACTCGAACAGAAGCAGAGCAAAATTGCCCTGTTCCGCCCATGACGCCAGGCGGAAATCTCCTCTAAACAAACCGCGCCGTACAAGCGAAACCCTACCAGATTCACGAAGGCAGGAACACGCGCGAATCGAGTGGCGGTTCTCCGGATGAACACCCAGACCCACGCGGGGGAGCCAAGAATCGCCCCCCGAATGCCCCGCTCCCTGAACGGCGCCGAATCAAGAACCCGACCCCCGACCCCCGGCCGACAACACATGCGCGCGCGCGATACTCGCCGCCGAAGCCGCCTGCCCCGATTACGAATCCCGGCCCTGAACCCCGAACAGGGCCGACTAAACCTCACGAGAATGGACGGATCCGCCTGAAGCGGGAGGGGGGAGAGAGGGGTGCCGGCGGGAGGATTCGCTCACCCGGAACGGAAGCGCGGCGAGGCGGGTGGCGTGGCGTGCGGCGGGACGGCGGCGGCGGCGGTGGCTGCCGTCTGCCGGAGTGCGGGGCGAAGGGAGCGAGAGGGACGCGTGCCAGTGTACCAGCGGTTCAGGTAGGCGTGGGCGAAAGCGTCATTTATTATATCCCCGTGGGCAAGACTCCCTCGTTGACTGGTGCAGTTTGTCCATCTGCCAGGTGGGCCGGCTCGGCACCTGGACGGGTGGGACAGGGCATGGGTGGGGCCCACCTGTCATTGGACAAGTGTTTCACGTGTGTGCAAAGTTTTATGATGGAAGTCTATGCTCCAAAATAACTCTTTTTTAAAGCATTTTCGAGCCCTGGCATTATTGTTATTTTTGTCCGCGCACCCATGAATGTCATTTCACCACCAAGATTTTCTTGCAGCCAGAACACTAAGCAAATGTCTGTTGTTTTTTCGATTTTTACTGTTCATGCCATGCACATGTGTGTTGGGGACTAGAAGCACACTTTTGAAAATCTAGCCCCTCCCTCCTGTTGTCAACCAAGGATGGTGTATCAGGGCTAACGCCAATGGCGCTTCACCTCTGAACCTGAACTTCTGCCTACGGGCACAAATCGTGGATTGTTGGACATTGAAGGCTTGTGCATTGCACTCCTTCTAGAAAACCTACACCGTCAGTAGAAATGCAGAGTTGACTCGTGGCTCAAATGTGTCAGAGATAGCGCACAACGGATAGGGCACGAACCAATTACATTAATCTCGCGCCAAATTAAGGTCGAGGAGGAACAATAAATGAATGGATTGTCAATTGAATTAATAACACTTGAGCATAGAGGCAGGCAACATGGCTTGACACCTCGACAACGTAGTGGCTCGAGCATGCTCACCTCATCACTATGGATCAACAAGGCACTAAGCTCCTCGACCTGGGGAGGGAGCATACACCTTTGAGGAGTTCCATTCAACATGATATTTGAGGATGCAAAAGAAAAGAACATACAAATCCACTCGAGGAACTTCTCACCAAAGCCAATGTATCGCACCACATGAAGAAGAAAAGTTGACGAAATAGAATTGAATGCCTTTGATATGTTGATCTTGAGTAGGAGAGTGGGGATGTGCCTAACACATGTGGCACTAATTTCTTTTTTGCAAATAATGTTACACTATTTTATCAAACTAACGCGGGAGCTAGCTAAATATGTGCATGCAAAACTATTTTCAATACTATAATGTCATCACTTGAGACATTATGCACCAAATGGTTCTACCACGTGGGCGATGGTACGTAGGTAGTTGCATTGCAGTACTATTCTTATTACGAGCAAGAAAATATTGTAACATGATGAGAGAGAAGTGACTTTCAAGATATATACCTGTACCAACAAGAAGTTATCAAGTTGTGAGCTAGAATCTTGAGTCTCTCTAGCACAGTCACCCAAACAGATGACACGGTAGGACTGAGAAGCATCGGAAAATAAAGTGGCTGTTTAAATCTGAGACCAGGCAATCATATATGAAACAAATGCTAATAGGGTTTGGATGAGCTCAGTAGAACCAAGTGGTAAGGTCTAGTGACATTGAATGACGTTCTGCTTTGGTTTTTTGTAGTCTCAGAGACGCCTCAGAGAAAGCTCGTGCAAGGGAAAGCTTTTGCTCAGCAAAGCTCGATAACACATAAACCAAAAACACCATTTAGAATCACATGAAAGTTTCTTATTCTCGAGATTAGTTCGACAAAAGTTGTGTAGAATGTCAAATGAATAAAAGTTGAGCAATTAAGCTCAGTTGGAATCAAACATGGCACAAGAGACGCACTAGATATCATGTTTTGAAAAATCAAAGGCTTGTTTATGCAATTGAGCCTTTTCAAAATCCTTTTTGGAGTTCAATCCGGCTTAGATCAAATGAAATCGAGTGGTTGTGGTGCTTGAGTTCGATCCGATAAGAAGTTGTCTGCAAAGTTCATACACCTAGTACATAATATATATACTCACATTATTTATCTTTTCAGCAGGACAGGTCGTGGCAAACTGCACTATGTTTCCCTGCAGCAAGACAGGGGAGCATCATCCCTTGACGATGCCATTGAATCGCAACATACATTGTAGCTCGACTACAATGTTTATGGACCCACTGTAGAGAAGAATGACATGATGCACCCTTCCTGTGTAGATCCACTCTAGAACAGTATGATGAAGCGCCCTTGGCCTTGAGTAAAAGGATTTCTTTATGGGAACACTACCAGTTTTGTTTTACCAATGGAAGCATTTGTCGCCACCTTACAATGGACGCGGCTCCACTGACGTGGTATTGGCCCACTGACAAGTGGACCCAGGCCTACATGTCAGTGGCCAAATGGGCAGGGTGCAATACGCCAGGGGATCCGGTTCCACTTACAACCGAGTGCATTTGAATGGCTAGCTCGCCCACATGCTTATCTGGAGTCTCTTTCCTCCTGGACCATGTAGTATCCCTGCTTTCTTCTGGTGAAGTATGGCACTCTTGATAACTTCCGTCCTTCTGACGGGCATTCTAGAGGCCGGTTAGTTAGGCATAGGAGGTTGTCAGCAGAGACACAAGATATATACTCCCTCATTCACAAATATAAGATGTTTTGTATATATATGTTAATATAGAGTATATGCAGACTGAAATGAGTGAGCAAACACATAAAAAGTGTCCATATACATCTGCTTCAGAAAAAAATGAGAACATCTTATATTTGTGAACAGAGGGAATAGTTGATTTCGAAGCATAGGGAAAGATAGCAGTGCAAGTGCCTCATCAATACCAACCTCAGATTTGTGAATGGAGTAAATCTTATATTCTCCATTATTCTCTACTTTTTTTTTTCTGGTCTCACGATGCTTTCATGATGCTGAGATCGGTGCAGACACTATGCATGGGCGATGGAGAAGTGAAGATGCACACGTCCAAGAACCGTGTTCTGGTCTGCCTATAATTTTCAGTTCTTGACACGTGTCAAGGAACCGTTACTGAACTCAGTCGGGCATATTAAAGCTGAACCCAAAGTAAAGTTTTACGTGTTTCTTTTGGAGTAAAAGTAAAGTTTAATCTGTGGCTCCTTGTGACCTTATCCATAACTGAAACTGGACAACTCACCGCCTTGCGACCAAGGGGTGGCCTCACAACGAGAAGTGTTCTCTCTGTGATCTCCATGAGGAGAATGCAGCTCACATCCTTCTCACATGCACTTTTGCTAGACAAGTTTAGGATACTAGTCGTGAACCCGTGCGCTTGCACGGGCTAGGCTTATATTGTGTAAAATATCATTTTCATGTATCTGCGCGACCAACCACTTTCATACGGAGAGTAGTGATCATGAGAACAGGAAAAAAATAGGATAAATTGTATAAAAACTATTATTGTGTGAGTGCCTGTTATTTATGAAGCAGTATTATTGGGTGTACACTTTTTCTGTTGGAATTCTTTTGTATATAAATATGTGTGACTACTCTAGTTCGTACCTTTTCTAATTAGGAATGTACGTGATCTATGGCCTTCTACAATACTGAAAAGATATTGCCGTTTCCTGTGTGTGGGAAGTCATTTGATAAAAAAAGTTAGTTATATTTTCTTATATTGGTAAGTTTAAAATGTGTTATGATTTAGTCCTGAGCTAGCAGACTACTGCATTGATTATTTTGTCTTGAGTAAACATGAAATTTTGGCCAGTTAGATTATATGAAACTATTTGCCATAAAAAGTGTGTAAAAAGATATTGCAGTTTCCTGTGTGTGGGAAGTCACTTGATAAAAAAAGTTAGTTATATTTTCTTATATTGGTATGTTTAAAATGTGTTATGATTTAGTCCTGAGCTAGCAGACTACTGCATTGATTATTTTCTCTTGAGTAAACATGAAATTTTGGCCAGTTAGATTATATGAAACTATTTGCCATAAAAAGTGTGTAAAGATTTGGCCCTAGCTAGTATTGCTTTGATACTTTTTCTCAAATGGT